GGAAAATTTTAGGGAAAAATAGGAAAAATAGAGAATAATAGAGAAAAATAGGGGAAAAAGGGAAAACAGGGAAAAATTTGGAAAACATGGGGAAAAAAGCCTCGCAAATGAGCTCAGTGCATCCTTTCAGGCCAATGTCCTGGTAGTATCGGTCCACTGTACCTCCCTGATAGTGAGGGAGTCGTTTGTTTGATCACATCTGAAGTAGTGGCTTCACACATCCCTATACGGGTCTCCGCTGGACACCAGGAGTATGTCTATCTAGAGGAACCTTCAGCGCTGGTGGGTAGTTTCGTGGCGTAGCTACTCGACGTGGTTTCTTAAATTGAGCTCGTGAGTTTGCTCACTACATTACGGGTGGATGTGTAAAAAAAACCGACGAAAATTTCCCAAAATTTCCTCTCACAATTTTAATATTTTTACCAGCACATGTAGTTGACCATGTGCATGCTGCTCAGCTTCATCTCGTTGATGCCAGTGAAGTGCTTTTACTCGACGTAGATGCTTGGCTAGACTTGACGCTGCAAGAGGATCTGGTTCTATGTAATAAGAGTTGACTGAAGATTATTTGAGTTTACGTGAAGTGGCGTAAAACTCGGTGAAAAACGCGATATTCGCGGTGATATGCAGTGGTCGTGAAAAGTGTTTTTCATATCACTAGGATGAAACTCCAATGATATCTCTTCGCGACGATTTATGGTCCACTTATGGTTTTGCAGTTGTTTTACGTGAAGTGGCGTAAAACACCATGTGAAAAACGCGATATTCACGGTGATATGCAGTAGTCGTGAAATATATTTTTCATATCACTAGGGTGGTGAAATTCCCCTTCGAAATAGAGCACAGTTTTTCTAGTTACCTCGAATGACGATCCTATAGAAGTAGTCTGTACTCAGCAGCAGCTCGAGCCGCTTGTTGCCCTGTGGTCTGCGGGGATGACGATAGTCAGTATTGATTCTGAGAGGGAACCGAAGACTCAGGCGATATCACTCATCCAAGTGTCACTATATGGACCTCACCGTTTACGCAGGGACTTCATAATAGATGTAAGAAGCCATCCGCTGTGATTGGACATTTGAAGTGATCATCGATAACAAATTCGTATTTGACGAGACTGTCTCAAGGTGCCTATTTAGAAGGTGTTTTGACAATAAGAACACTAATGGAGTTTCACCCGTTTTACACGAAGTGAAATGTGTTTTTCACATCATGGGTGAAGCTCCAATATATGAAGTGCGTGATCAGGTGCAGTTGTTTGATGATAAGGAGTACCTCGGAAGGGAATTAGCGGAGCTCTTTGTGTCTTTCAACTCCTTGAAGATACTACACTCTGCAACTAACGATCTACGACACTTTGAGAAGTAGGATTTGGAGGAAGAGTGGTAGCGATTAGCTGATGTGTATATGTGAACGTATATATACATTGGAGTTTCACCCCCCGTTTTACGTGAAGTGGCGTAAAACTCGGTGAAAAACGCGATATTCGCGGTGATTTGCAGTAGTCGTGAAATATATTTTCGACTAGTGTTTACTCCAATGATATCATTTCGCGACGATTTATCGGCCTGAGCGTTTTTGTATGTGTTAGAAATTTCGAAGCATGCGAGTGCATCAGAGAGCGCGTAAACAACTTGTTGGACACCCAAATACTGGGAAGTCGTCTCGGGCAGACGAAATTGGGATTGGCGAAATTGGCTGAAGAGTAAGAGGGAATTTCGTGGCGCGTGACGTTTTTAACTAGCAGTTATTCATATCTAGATTTTCGAGAGTACGATATAGACTATGGAACACTTCTTGGTCGTTGGTGTTAATCGATTCACATTGTTATCATATGAACTTACGAGGTGCCAAAAAATTTTTGGGAGTAACAGTTTTTGGTAAAAATTGTTACTTTACGTAACGGTTTGGTTCACACTGTAATGTGTGTGTGAAAGTTTCAATTGAAGTGAATGCATCCAGGGGGTGTGCGTACGTATAGAAACTACAAGAAAAGTTGAGAATAACCAAGATATAAGTATAGTATGACAGGGTAGAAATTTAGTGACAGAGTCTGGAAAACGGTAGTTAAAA